TTCTTTCAAAAAAGAAAAAAAAAGAAATATTCTCCCCAACAGTCTTTATCGTGAGACCCCCTTCGCCTTCGAGGCGAGTACAAAGTTCGATAAGGTTCTACGTTACTTGTTCGATTAATCTCTACAGCCACTTCACACGCGGCCTAACTGGCGAAGAAAGAACGAAGTTCGCCACGCGAACGTTCGCCTGTGGAATACGATTTCGTGGCTGATGTCAGTCGTTACATTTTCGTCGGGGAGAAAATCGTAGATTAGACGTTCTACTGGCTGTCTAGAAACTGCGTCGGGCTTTTATAGTTGTGTTCCGCCCCTGGTAGCAACGCGGTAAAATACTTTTAACACTAACGCAGCACACATGGCCGTTTTACTTTCTGTTTGTGCAATAAATAGACGCTCAACGTTTACACGGTGCACGTTAATCCGTTTGTAAATGGTAAATGGTAAAATATAGAAGTTTCATTGTATGTACACGCACGAATCGGGTTAAAACGCGGAGAATTGAACGGAATGGAGGGAAAGCAATATATTTGTGAGAATCGATAGGAAATTTCTACGAATATTACTACCCGTTAATTAGAAATGAAACCGTTCGACGAGATTGGGAGGAAAGTTCCTAGGTAATTGTATGTACACGATAAATATCAATTAAACGAACGTTGCTGGGGGTACAGAGGAGCTACTTACTTGATAAAAGAACTTTCGAGCTAAATTAACTCGTAGACTTGGAAGTTTTGAACTGTTGGATCTTCGCAACGCGAGAAAAACTTTTCTTCGATTAGCTTCGAGCGTTAAATATTGCAAGATCGTGTAACTCGAACAATTAGTTGCAAGAATTTCGTAATTAAATTCTTCCCTATTGTTAGATTAAGCGGTGCAGGTTTATATTTGAACGAAAAGTGCTGTAAACCGATTGAGTTTGTCTGCTCGTCAGGTCTGATTTTGCGTTCCTCCTATGTAGATCGAGAAAAGAGATCTCTATCTTGCGATCGTACATATTTTCTTTGACTCTTTTTACACTGATCTTTAAAATCATTATCGACGTAAAATCCTTTTCTTTTTAATATAAATGCGTGTCATTTCAAAAAGAATATTTGTTCATTTACTTAACAATTTTGTACTTTTATCGTGAATCGTGTACAATTAAATTTGTTTCAACTGAAAGAGTTTCACGGGTAAGAGATATTTATCTTGTTATTGGATTAGGTCTTTACTGATTATTTTGTAAACTTGAGTCTTGCATTTTTACGTATTCATTGCAGGAAAATTGATCAGTGTAATGTTATTTCAAGATTTTGCGATTATAGTAGAATTTCTGATTTTAATTCTCAGTAGTATATTTATTAATATATTTTATAGTGATGAGTTTCTTGAAACATCGAAACCACAAAACTCCAGAAACCTGAGACAGTTGGAAAAATTATAGGATTCGAAACTTTGAATTTTTTTCATACTCGAAGTTCCCAAAAACGAATAAAGAAGAAAATTATAAAATCGATAAATAAGGTATCAGTAAATCCCTGAAATATTTTTCAGTACATTCTATACCATAGTCGATGAACTAGAAATAGATTTGGTCTGAAAGGAGTTCGAATCTTCTCTTATATTTTATCATATTTCTGTTTGCGAATTAAAATTGTGTTATCTTACAAAACAAAATCAAACCTTCAAATTTCGAGAGTTCCGAATCCGACTTTTAAATTTAAAGTATAGATTCTAGCCTATTGTTGATATTCTCACTTCATATTATCCGTATAAGAATGAATAATTTTTAATGGACTATCCTTATAAAAGTAAAATCTATACTACAAAAATAAAAATACGAATAATATCGCTTTCCCATTCCACGACCCGTCGCGAAAATTGATTTCACTTGCAACGGTTTAACTCCTATTACGTGACAGAAATGGCATAAAAATACGAAGAAATACGAGCCCTTTACACCCTCCTCCGAAGGGGCTGTAGCAGTCTTTACCTTCCGAACAACTTAGCACGGGAAGTTAACCATAATTTCAGAATAACGTTCCGAAGAACATCTCTTGCACGGTTCTTAAATCACGCAACGGGTTAAATTTTAAAATATATCAACGTAAATTACCGGTGTAGCATGGGAATATTACATGATCAACCACTTCTACTGTGACTCCATTCGTGCGGTTAAGATGTTATCAAGAAACCTCGTAGTTTAGATCTTTGCTCATGATACCTATCCTAGGTACTCTAGAACCTCTCGTCTAAGATAATGTAGCGTGTACCGAGATAACCCTTTTCCCAAGGAGAAGACAAATCGCTGATCACAGTGAATTTCCGATATTTCATGGACACTGCTCGATTTCGTGAACGTAGAAATTGCGATGTAGAAAAGTGAAAGTTTCCACAATTAGGCAAAGGATCGGGTCTAAAGGGTGTCAAAAAGCGTCTGTCATTTTCTTGCAACCGTTGTTCCCGATCTATATCCTTCGTGTCAATGGATCGTATTATTTCCGAAAGCGGAATATGATTATGCTGGAAGCAACGTAATCTCTCGGAGAGTAATGAAACTTTTATATCTGAATCATGGAAAAGTTTCTCAGCGCTGAATCCGCTGAATCTCAATTTCTCAGCGCAGGCGTTCCAAGATGGAAACAAGTGACGCTAACGGAATACAGAATGGCTGTTGTAAGATAAAGAATAGAAATTCCACCGTGTACAACGGCGTACGAAATTAAACGACCGTGTCTCGTGTATCGATATAGAGCATCTTCTTCGCGAACGAATTGGTTCAGGGTTCAGGACGAGAGTAAGGGCGAACATTTTCCCGGATATGTAAGATCAGACGGCTCTTGGAAGAGTATAGCTGGAAGAATATAGACGGAAGGTGGAAAGACTTTCTTAGACAACGACGACAGGATTAAATTTCCAATGGACGGCGATTGCCTGTTTCGAGTATCAATCGTAATCTCTTATATCCCTTCGATGCTCGTGTCAGACGCCGCGCACTTCCGGTACGCTTTGGCCCGACTTCTGTTGACGATTGGACAACATTTATATTGTGTCGAAAGTAGATTAAATCATACGAAGACCTGTGCTAGTGCCAAAAACAGCGAGAGTGGTATTATTTTGCTGTTGAAGCTTCCTGTGGAAGTACAGGAAGCTTACTCTTTGTAAAAGCGTGGTATTCATCGTTCGATTATGCAAGGTGTGGTCGTCATTTTACTTGCATCTCTGATTTTAAGAAAACTGATTTCAAATAAGAGGTCGATAATAGATGTAAGCATGTATGTAGGAATTCTAGGGTTTGAGAGCGAATGCAAAGGAACACTTGGGCCTACCTAGTTGATGATGGGCAATAAACAGTAGCCTAGCCCTTCAGGCCGAATGTTTAGAATGACGTTTGCAGGACACGTGGAAGGACGAGTGACCGCGTGCAAGGATTGGATGAACGGGATATTTATGACTGTATCGAATGCAAGTGAAGAGCGAAAAGCGCCTGAGTGTTTAGGGTACGTGACCCACTGAGAGCGAGGCTATGAGAAATGCGTGATTGAGAAGGAGAGCAGGAGTATGAAAGAAGACAGAGTGCAAGGTTTAAACGAGAGTGCAAGAACTGTCATAAACAGTCCTTTACGGAGTTTGAAGAAGAGTCGATGTGAGAGTGTTAGTTGCGTGATCATAGTTCAGTTATTAGTCTAGTCTTTTAGTTTGTACTTTATTCCTAAATCCCTTTTAGCTCGCAATAAATAATATATTGGAATAAACCAACATCTTCTATTCCTTATATTTGCCAATCAAAAGTATCCCTATATGTATGGGATAAATTTTTCTATATCTTATTAACGTATTAATTCTTTCTAGAGAAGAGTTCTTTTCGTTTTCCTTTTATCAATGTTATTTATGCTTCTGGTATTTATAAGCGTTCGATAACTTTAGGTTTTAATTTATCCATACCTTTAGTATCTTCAAACTGTAGATTTTTGACTTTATGAAATTTCGTAAGAAACATAATTAATGATCGTGCAAAATTAATTTTCTAGGAGAATTGGGTCACAAATGAGGAAATTTTAAGATATATTATCGATTTGTTCTTGCTTGGCGAGTTATTTTACGCGTGATTAGACCACAGCGACCACACCTTGTAAATACCGTGCAAATGAATATGAAACAGACGTAGGCACAATTGTTATACCAAAGCAACGAAACGAATAACCATCGTTGGAATATAACAGGTGCTCGAGAATCATTCGATGAAAATCGTAATACGACATTTGAACATTGCCAGAGGTACATTGTTCAAATAGGCACAGTAAAACCCTTGTTATCCGAATTTCCAGTGTCTGAACATTTAGTTATCAGTTTACCATTGAAACGGAAACATAAGCTGTTCATTGCGGCATGTGCGTATGTAAATTGGTCTGAGCTTAATGTGCAGATGGAATAGAGTGGTTTCGCTTAATTAATTTCGGCCTGTAATTAGCGGAATTAAATACGAAACTAATTGTTAACATTAAAATAGAGGTTGAAGAATTTGGAATTAGAGATTCGTTACAAATAAATCTTCAAGTAAATCCGAAAGCAAATCTACAATTTCTTTGTATTATTCTTTACTCGACTTTTTGATCTCTGTTATTTTTCGTATAGTATAGTGTATGGGCATCTGAAAACTCTTTCTTTACTTTTACCGAGTATTTTGGTAAATTCCAGACTCTCGTTAGCATATAAGAAGATACGAATTAAGATATTATAATACGATCGTATCTTGTGACCCTTTCATTCGGACGACCATGGTTCCACTGTACCAAAAATTTCTCGATTTAAAATCCCTCTTATATCCAACGATTCTCGTTCAATGTATTAAAAACGGCATACCGAACCTTGACTGCAACACTAAAAGAGTAAATAACAAAATACGGAAACATCTCGATAACGAAAGCAAGGAAACAAGTTTTCTACTGGACGGCGATCGTTTGAGTCGATGAGGATACATTCTGTTAAAAGTATCCCGATCGTCAAGCGTGCTGTTGAATTTAGAGCTCATAAACCTCGCGTCTCTTAGCTCTTTCTTCGTGTGACCAATAGGACCTGCCGATAGGGCTTGGGCTTGCATAGCAATGCATAATATGAACTTTCAGACGTCCATCGCTGGCGTTTCGCCCTTCTTCCCTCCGTGGTCTCCTCGAGAAACTCACCGTGGTCTTGCAGCAACAGTAATGGAAAAGCTTGACGTAAGCGCTGCGAAAATGTCGGTCTGCCACGCAATAAAGTAGATTGTTGAAGCAGGATTTGGAGAGGGCGAACCAGGCCACGTTATAGAAAATACGAGCGCTTATCGGTTGGAAGGAGTTAACGCACACAGTGATGCCGAATGGTAGCCAGAATATCACGAACATCACGCAGCTGTACATGTTCGCCTTGGCCAGCTCGTAGTCCCAAGAGAAGGTGACTGGGGGCTTGTACGAACCCCTGGTGGCGTGTCGAACGCGAATCACGAGCTTCACGTATAGGCAGACCGTCATTACAGTCGGCAAACCTACTAGAATCGCAGCCCCGATTATCTGCTCCATGGCTATACCGCTGAATCGACGGCGACAGAAGTCTGGTCCAACGTCCAACGATGATTGCAGGGCTACCGTCATCACGGATATCAGCCAAACGCTGATGATCACCGCTGTCACTCGGCATGTCGTCAACACGGCGTACCTGAAAGTGTGACACTCGTGAAATAAATCCAATGATTAATACTGGAAAAATGATTTTCATCCTTCGAAATTAATCCATTCGCTTCATCCGATGACATGAGCTCGTCCTGTCACTACGAGGTCATGATTACCAGACTCTGATTTAAGCTTTGCGCGTACAATTTTGATTTCTTATAAAGTAAATAAGTTCGATTTTTGAAGTTATTACGTAGTATTACAATTTGAGGCGAATGGATTACGGATTCTTTGACCGTTCTCAACTGAGATCGAAGGTCATCGAAGGGAAGAGATGAATGGATGACTCTAGACGAGTGCACGCAATTTTGTGACTAGAATGCACACGATTTAGTGGTGGGTCTTGAGACATAAGACAAGTATTCGTGGAACTTCAAGTATTTCACAGATCGACTAGGGGATAAAGTCGTTATCTCCTGTCGGAGCTTCGAGTCTGCTGGCATATTGCAGTAGATACGGGTACCCAAAACTCCTCTCTGACAGCTACGAATTTCACGGGGTTAAACTACGGGAACGTCCCGTAGAATGTGAAATTAGGAACTCAATCGTGACACTACTAGGAAACTGCAAGGCAGATCCAAATCAAAGTCAAAGTGTCAAAAGAGATTCGTACCATGGCATTAGTGGAAATAGCTTTCCATCCGGGCGGAACTTGTCTGCGACTGAATCCGTTTCTCGGTTCGATAACCTATCGACGATAATGGAATATCGTGTCATTTTCCTGCCAATTTCCACGTGCAAACATAATCTTCTGTTCCTTGTCGTTTATGCAGAGTGTTTCGTACGAAGTGGAATTGGTCATTAATTACGAAAACTACTCAAGACAGAGATAGGAAGACTCATTGCTGTTATAGCAATTTTTCTTAATAGTGACACTCAATATTTTTGTTTCCTTATTTTGCAAATAAATATTTGCAAATAAATTGTTATATCTTTATTTTAAAACTTGTAACATTAGTACTAGAAATACGAAAGCAATTACACGTACTATTTTCATTATCACTGTCTATGTATACTATATTTAGGTACAGATTAGGGGTCAATAATTCTGGTGTAAAGAAGATAATATGATTCGATAATGTTATTCTTTCTTTTCTCTTTGTATATTTTCTCTTCATTTTTACGATCAATTTGTTATACGGTATCTCATTATCAACGCGTTAAAAGATAATCTAATTAGCATATTTTATCGTATTTTACATGTACATGAGACATTTGAAAGATAATCTATGACCTAATTCCGTTGACTTATATGTCTGAACTGTTACATGAGTAATGGCTTAAATTTCTATGCGTTGATACTCTGCATTGTCAGCGTGGAAAACAATAGCGTATTTACGAACCTATTGAAAGGTGTAGGGGCTTACTGAATTCTGCATTGACTCGCTAACGAATCGGCTAAAATAGCGATCGTAGTCCCTGTGGGTCGCAGAAAACTGAATAGTATTTATTACTTAATTATCTGATTTAATCAAAGAAATTATTGACCACATTGTATCATTTAATCGTAGAATAATCTTAAATAAAATCCTAAAATATAATAATTATTATTTTACAAAATAATAAGTCAATCTTATATTATCATTAATACACATGACAGTGATTTTATCAAAATATACCTAAAAGCATAACTCGTCTTATCAAGCATCATCGATTGAACTCGAGACAATAATCGAGTGAAAAGTACAGGATTTTTGTCGAATAATATACGAAAGTAATTTCATTTAATCATTTTCATACCGACAGAACGAAATCTCGCCACTCCCTCTATTTGCATTTCATACGCGATCTATTAGGATATTATCCTTAAATCTGAAGGATGACAAGGCGAAGAATAAATCGTTGGGTATGCTGCGCCGAGTAACTTTTCATACACTGTTCTCCACGTACGGTAGTATAATTTATCTACCTCAAAAGAGATGTCGTAAATCTTTCAAACACAGATCTTCATAAAACTTGATCAAGCAGAAAGTACATACTTCCTGTGTTCATTGTAGCTCGAGAACGCTGTTATCGACCCTCATGAACGTTCATCGAAAATAATTACTGCCTTCGAAAATATAATTTCGACTATATTCCAGTCTCGACGAGCATGTTCAAGAAATCTCCATTCGTTACAAATAGTAATTGTTCCTTTTTTCCAATGTTTTAATCACGAACAAGTCGAGTGTCCCTCTCTAGAGTACCCTATACGATGGAACAGCACTAGAAAATTCCGGAGAAATCCTGTCGGATATAAATTCGAAGGTTCTAAATTTTTTGCTAAATTCAGCAGGTCTGGCGATAAATTTCTACGAAATTTATTCACTTCTTGTTTTTTTCACCATGAAACTTTGAGAAGATCGTGCATCTATCGTCGATCGTTAAGCGGGCGCATGCAACTGGATCGTTCGTAAATCAGTAACCATGGCATGGCTATACGTGCAAGTTTAAGCTTTGCTTCGAGAGCACTCTAATCCCTTGTGGTCGTATTGCCGTTGGCAACAATGGTATTCGAAATTACAGCCGACTCTCTCTGTTAGCGCTTGCAGAGCAAAAGGTGAAGCGAATGCAGAGAAACAATCGCTACTGCTCCATTCCCATTGAACAAAGTACGAACAATGGTCGTTCTTTAAACGATCTTTCATCTCTTTTGGTTGTACATGTTTGATGCACTTTGTAAGCTGTGTGCAACGGGTCTGAGAATTTGAAAGTGTACAAAGTAGGCTATAAAGAGTATAGAGTATCCGTCATAATGGTATCCACGATTACTGGGCTGGATTAAGTATCGTTGAGATTTATGAAAGGAAAATTCATACTTTTAGGAAGGCTTCGAAAATGAGGTGGAATTTAAGAATAAAATTGTTACTTTTTATTTTTGGATTATTGAAATTCTTTTTCTTTTTTTTCGTGTTTCATGGATACTTTACTAAAATTATAGAAATGATATACCGATTGATTGACTGATAGACTGAAGTAACTATAATTATCTAAATATTGAAAATAGGGTTTATGTTTCTCTGATATGTTTTATTTACGTAACTGATTTAATTTTACAATTTCAAAGGAGAAGAATAAAAGATTTATATCTTAAAGGAACAATAGGATGTTCGTTATATGTAATTAAAAGATCGTGGATATCATTATGATTCAATTATTTTTGTTTTCAATAATTATTCGTGCTTGTTACTAGTAATCGCGTTTCTACCTTGCACAGCTAATTGCAATGTAAGGCGAATAAAATTCGAGGAAAGTGAAAGAATTGAGTTTCTAAGTAATCAGTGCAATGGAAAGAAAAGGCTTTCATGCAATTCATTGCTTTCTTTCATTTAAATATGTTTATATCCGCGTTAACGTAAAACGGATTGAAATTAGATAAGGGGAATTTACGATCAATTAAATCGAAGTAGAAAGCAAGATATTGTGTTAAAAAATAAAAATATAAATTTTTGGATTAATCGAGAGCAAAGATTTACAGATTATTGAAAATCATTTCGAGTGGTGGTATGAAATGTTATGTAATTATGAATTTCATCTTAAATATCGTATAATTATAATTATTTAATTTACAGTAGACTCACGATATAATAAAAAAACGAAGTAAAAACTGAATATAAAGTAAATTTAAAAGTGATCGATAGAAAAAGATAACACAAAAGATTAATATGAAATATTTCCAAATTTTATGGAATTATAATTCAATAAAGGATGGCAGTAAAAATAAATATGCACAAAAATGATATAAACGAGCCAATAATACATTTCACAAAACTATATATATTGAAATAATATATTATAATAATATATTTCACTAGAACCACCAAACGAATTGAAATAATTAGTTTCTGATTTTTTTGTAAACAAAATTAATGTTTTCATCATATCAGTATCATTATTCGTATATACCACGTTTAACTACATAGGTTAATGGTTCTAGTGTTAAGAAATAAAAATAATCATAATTACTTAAATATCAAAAATAAAATCCATCTTCCCATAGCATTTCTTATCGCAATGATTTTCAAATCATTTCACGAAATCTTTCAACGAAATCTAAAGTCATAGATCGTAATGAAGCTTATTTCTATTCGTTAAAATTACAATTCGAGGGTATTGATCATTACAAGTTTCTGGTTTGGGTCAAAGTGATGTTTGTTATACTCTAAACTGATTGCGCTCGGATCACGAAGTAATCGGGTTAACGAGTAATCGGATTACAATGCGATGACATTCAGAAGAGTTGACTATTAGTTCTTCGAGGATTAATTAGAATCGTTCATCGAATTCGAGGATCTACCTGGTTTCTGGTAATGGCTGCTTTCCTCTGATATTCGCATTATCTTTTTTGCTTGCGAGCCGATATGAGATTTCTATGATTTACGCAACAGGATAATTTACGTGACGTGTGTAACAATTACGTAAACCTTCAAATGAAACGAAGCAAATAGATAAGCGAAAATTGAAAATCGTTCTTGATTTACGTTACAAAATGATTGCTCGTTCATCTATATCGTTACCTTTAACTCCTTCTTTTCTTATAAAACTTCTGGCATTTCCTTCGAATAGAAAGCCTATATAGGGATATCATTTTCTCAGTATTAGTTCAAATAATAAATAAAAATATAATATTCCTAATATTTTTAAGTATAGGAATAGTATTTTTAATATTCTCAAATATACAAATAATAATAAAAATTTCGAAATATTCTTAAATATAAATTTAAAAATACATTCCTTGGTCATCCTACGTATATAAGTGGATTAAAATACTATTTCATCGCTAGTTCACCCTTCTCTTCTCCACTCTTACACATCTTTCATAAATTTCTATGGATATATCTTATTGTTACTGTTATGGTTAAAATTGTAAGCTTCGGGGAATAATCCCTCGAGGGTAACAACAATTGCAATGCGAGTTATAGTTCTTACCTTTCGGGTGGTAGGTACAAACGAGTATAATTTTCTGCAGCAATAGTGGTCAACGTTAATACCGTGACCAGGAAGCAGAGGGCCTCTAGAGTACATTCGAATCGGCATGTGCTTAATGACTCTTCGTGTCCTGCCAGGATCACGATCACTGATACTGGTATCACGACGCCTGTGACTAATAGATCTGCCAATGCAACGTTCACTAGGAACGCGTTCCCTGTAACAAGAGAATTTTGGTCCAAGTTAATCAAAATGAATCGTCGATAAAGTCCGCTGATAAATTAAATTCTCAGAGTAATATATGGTTGACAACACAAGGAAATGACATTCAAGGAATGGCGAAGATGAGACAATTCAAGTGTAACGGATGTTCATGATAACAAATTCCATTGTTAAAACGACCGAATGTGATTGAGTATTATACGTGTACCATATGTAACGTAGCACAGATACTTCCATTGGTCTTACGTAAACCGTGATAATTGACTTAGGGTATGAGGCAATCGATTAATTATTTTTAGTTCTGTATTCGTGAAAAATGACGATTCGATGCGTGAAATAAATTTAAAGGAAGCGTTTGTATGGGGTGAAGGAAAATATTGAATTGGCAATTGTATATTGATTTCCATAATCTTCTGTTCTTTCATCGAAAAGCGTCAGGATAAATCAAACGGTTATAAAATGTAAATCTGGTTTGAGGAATCATTTATAGTTTAAATGAAACTAAATAACCAAAAAATAATAGTCAATATTGGTTATTACAATATAATCATTTTAAATAATTCAGTAAAATTTGCTTATTTTAAATTAGTACGATAGAAATTAAAATGAATAATAAGAGCAAAATAGTGATTGTGGGGTAATGCAAATGCAGATTAGGAAGAAATTTAATTTTATTAATACGACGCAATAATTTTTAAAATTTTTAATAATTTTCAAATAATTTTTCCACCTTGCCTTATTTTCGTGTTAGCATTTTGACGTCTGTGATTAAGAATCATTCAAAAATCGGACGTTTCATCGAAATTACAATTTTGGGATTCATGTTAGGTCTAGGGCAATAAAATACTTAGAAACAATTCTAAAAATTAATTTCATATCACAAATACGCGAATAAATTAATATTCGTGACATCAAACATGTTTCCACACGAAGCCAGAAATAATCTTAATTCACCGAAAAGTATCTGAAAACGAATTAAAAATTAAACTCGCAGTCAGTTGTCAAACAAAATTTCGAAAGAAGTTCGGCTCCAAATACATACATATTCAGACACCAGAGATCGACAGAAATATCACGGTGTGCCCCCAATTTATCGAAGGTGTGGCATCATTCAGAAACCCGCATTTAGGCCTGTTGGAGCATCAAATTATCACGCGCGATATCGATCCTGAGGAATCAACGTCTTGATTGCGGCACTAAACGAGAGGGGTTGCTTCGCGAACTATGCCAGCGTTTCGTAAATTTGAAGTTACCCTTATCGGCTGAACTAACCCGGCATTCCAAAACTAACTTCTCATTAACTTCTCTAATCCAATATCAGATCTATTAATAGCGAGTGTGTTAATGATTCAAGTTAATACCGCGACCGAACTTGCTACACCGCAGCGCGCGGTGTAGCAAAATTCATCCCCGGGAGTTAATGAAGCGTTCGTATGACGAACTCTCTGTCTCGTCATAAAACATTCGTTCGAGTGTCGCTTCAACGTGCCGTGAAATTTGCACCTTGGTGCGTTGCAATTTGCAAACAAATTTCAACGTCGATAACTTTCGCGTGGCGAACTTTTGCAGAGAGAGAGAGAGAGAGAGAGACAGAGACAGAGGGTGAGAGAGAGAGATAGAGAGGGGCAGTTTATCGCTAGTCTACGCTGAATTCGCGTATGATCTGGCAAACGAGACGATGGCGAAATAAATTGGACACATTGGCCGAGTAGTCGACCTGAGTCTACTCTAGCTTTCGGCTTAATGGGATGTAATTTCACTGGATAAGAGGGGTAGTAGAAGTCATTTTTAAACGACGTATAGGTCGTTGCGCAAAACGCCTCACCCGCGCCATTGGTTCCGCGTTGGCAATAGGACTTGACGACGTACATACGCTTCTTTTTTCGTGTCTAGCTGCAGTCGATTCGTTAAGAACGTATAACGGGTGTGAGATAAAATATATGGTTTTATTTTGAGGGGTATCGATGATATTGAAAAGTATGGGATTGATTTGTTTTATTGTTGTACAGAGTGTCTGGTAACTGGTGGTAAAATCATGTAGGAAGTGATTCTGTCTGTTAAAACTAGTCGGAAAGACAGAATGAAATTTTTTCATTTGAGGCTTCCTTTTCAACGAAATGGAGATTAAATATTCATGGGGTATGTGTTCTTTTTATATCGTACATATATATGTCGAATTTAGATTAATATTTCTGTTCATGTCTGTGTTCGCGAATACATATTTTCATCGTAACTAATTCCTTTGTTTTGGTCTCAAAATTCTAGTTTCTCCATCGTCAATTTTTTAATATGGCTAAGTGTAACACCCTCAAATATTTGGAATCAATTTTTTCGAAAACAAAGCCTCGTACGAAAAAATTTTATCCCACGTTTTCGATCCACTTTTTCTCGTAGAATTATATCCCTGTAGATTTTATCATCGGTTACACAGAACTGCCGGTATATATATGGAAACGGAATTATCTTGGGTGTAGCTTCTCTTCAGCGTTTCATTTTCCTGTCAGGGATTTCGTTACTGTAAAGTCTATTGTATTCTGTCATTTCCAACTACCAATAGTATTCATTTACATGACGAACGGACCGTGAATACGAAATTTACATTTTTCTGCTGGGTTCCGGTACAATGTCGAATAAATCTTTTATCAATACTAGTGACATAGCCTTTTATGGAAATGTCATCCTATCCATTTGTTAATTCACGAGATATCTGCGAGTTTCGTTTAATTCTTCTCGATTGCAATTTTATATATTTTCACATTTCACGAATCCTATTTTACGGAGTAAATTTAATTTTGATGCGTTTAATTGTTAGCTGATATGTTTTTATTACGATATAATTGATATACTTCGTCACTTGCGAATATGCATTGTACAATTCACGTATTCATTACATCTCGAAAGCGTACATTTGAAATATTATATCGAGTGACATTTCAATGCATCTTTTTTGATAATTTTTTACAACGTAAAATAGGATTTTTTCTACATATGAAGGTTTTAAATATTTAAATCGTGTAGTAAGATGATAATGATGTTAACAATACTTGTAATATAAATTAGGGGTGGTCAAACCTTTTTATGATGGAATATTTTAAGTATCATATTTCAACTATCAAAAGCAGTGATTCAACTATCACTGGCATAGTGTTTCCTCTGAATATTAATTAATACTATTGTTTTCCAAGCTATTATTCATTTTTTAATATATACTCATTACAATGAATATTTCTCTAAAAACCTAAGGGCTGCATGTAGCTTGTGATTCGTGATTTGGTCCCTTCTAGTATATATTTTTGTATTGTTATCGTATATTTATATTTAAATTAAGATACAAAAATGGAATAGAAAAAAATTGGGAATTTCGTTTGAATAATTATTATTAAACCTTTAGTAACATATAAGTATCATTTGAAAAAAATTCTTTTATTCCACGATCGTGTCCGAAAAATTGATACATCTCAATTCGTTTTATGGTATACTTTTTAGCAATTCGTCGCAATGTTTTCTTCATAAGAACCATTCACTTTGATCAGAATAAATGCCTTCGTGCTTATCGGATTACACAATACGTTTACGAAAAATATCGATCAATTCAAATAACGTTGCATCGACGTATACGAGATTGGATACGGAAAGAAGTCGATCTAAAGTGGGATTTTCAGGGGAGAACTCGGACCTTTTTCTCGATACTACGAATGGCAGATGTACTGGGTGTTTCACATGTATGGGTGGAGCAAAATTTTGTAATCAATTAGCGACTTAGTAAAATATTAAGAGAATAATTGGTGCCATATATTGCACATTCCTGTACCATTTTTACGTGTCTTTATGCATTGGCGTGGTTAAACAGTGTGTTTACACGTTTTTATTTCTTTCATAAAAATTAAAAGAGATCTATTTAAATTTTGGATACTTAAACGTATATTTTACTTCGCGAAAGTATTCGTGAGTTATTTATTTTTCTACTATTTAATTTTAATATCTTTGCACACAAAATAGTAAACAATTTCTGTAATATACATAGGTAGATAACATTTTCTACTCTGAAATATGACAATTGAGTACGTTAGAAACATTTTACATTTTTTAATAATTATTTTATCGTCCTTTTGATAAATGGTGCGTCACTTTTTAATTTTATAAATTGCATATATTTAACCATGACATTTTTCTTCTTAAATTAACTTATTTCTACTATTGCATTTCACTCTTGGAAATTGTCTTCTATCTCCAACCGTTCTAAAGACCCAACTCTATTCATTCGCGCGAAACACCCTGTACAGCGATTGCTGTTGTCACAGTAGAATCACGAAATTGTTACAGACGATCGCAGGATCTCTTTCTATTATAGTTACGAACAAGGTCGATGATTACGGTTCTCCGTGGGTGTTGGTGAAAAGGGTCGAAGAGTTACGTAACAGGAAGTTTATTTCCACAGTAACAGTGGAAACGGGACGAAATTTTCCTACTGAATCGTTCTGACTGCACGAAACTTTGAATTATTTACATTCGTATCAGGCTTCACCGGGGGACGAAACGAAGTACCGGTGAAAATCTTTGGAACAAGTGTTACTCGCGAAGAGTTTGTCGAAGTACGAGGAACAAGAGGGAGTAGGGTGCAGACGAGTCGTAAATGAAAGAAAGCTTTGAGACTCTCTCGTAAAAAGTCGAAATTGAAAAAGGCAATTTTGCGGGTAATCATGTGATCCACTCTGTCCGATATTATTACGAAAATGTACTTATTTGCTGACCGCGATCCTTCAGCTTTCGATCATAAAACCAACGCCCCGCTTATTAGAACATTGCCCTATCCATGAAAGAACCCCAGTGCCAAAGGTCAATAGCAATGGTATACTATAAATCTCGTCAACAGTTGTTTCCATACTATGCCAATTACATTACCGTGCACCTGATCCTCCTGTTCTAAGACGATGAAAGAATACTGAATAAAAGAGTCGAGTAAAACAAATTATGCGAATATTAATTGACAGAAATATATGAAATTTGTTTCCTGGTATGCCAAAAGTAATATAAAATGTAGGAAGGTATTCATTAGGGCATTTTATGAGCATCACTCCTATGAAAAGTTTGACGTCGATATTGAGAAAAATGGGGTCAGTCATCAAAAGCCTGAAGAGGCTCCAAAAATTCTCTTATTTTTCGAACTATTTTATACGTGTAAGTAATATAAAGGTATCAAGCGTTTCTTTTATATATATCCACTGAAATTGTTTGAATTAATTGCCTACTTGAGTAACATCCCTTGCTAGAACTTGTAAGATATTTTCTTACATTTTTAGTTTCAAGGTTACTCGTGGTGATGATTATAGACTATGTAGCAAATTTGCTGTCATTAGTTCTATAAATGATAATCTTCTGTAATTCTCTATTTGTTAAAAGCTAAATCTAAAAGCTCCGAGTCTATGAACCCTTTAGAACCGAAGACGACAAATCTCTAAATTTCATTTGAATTTGTTCCAATTTCATTGAGGATCTGTAAGAATCTCACATGTTAAAACTTCCCTTTCCAACATCGTTTTGAAGGATCGCGTATTGTCTGGTGGGGCACAAAAGAGTCCAATCACACCACAGACTGACCTTCCAATTAAGCGACACTCCCTGAACCTAAGGAAAATTCCTATACTTGGTCCCATGAGAATTATCGCACAAAGAGTCCCTTTGTTCTCCTGGAAAATAGGAATATCGATTCGGGATAGTTGTTTAGACTACCTTCGTGAGAGTCTACGGTAATATCGATGCTGCTGAGACTGGCGTGACTGGAAAGTGTCGTCTTGAATTTTGCGATCGCTATCGTAGTCCAGCCAGCTGAGGTCTTCCTAAAAATATACGATTGTACCAAGAATATACATCATGGTCTGAGTAACTTCGGTTGAAAGCAGCATTGTCTCTTCGCTACCACTTTGTACATAGTACGTGTTCTTAGCACACGTGTAGGCACAAAGCTTTAACCTGTGCACCGTAGTATAACGAAACTGTGGACTTGGTTCAGCATCTAGACTTAGATAAATAACTAGACATCTCAACTCAGTCTGCGTTGTCAGACATCGCAGTGTAACCACTTGGTCTCTCGGACAAAGTTGCGATTCGTCGGTCAACGACATCCAACAGACTTGATTCCCCGCGATTATCAGTTAGGCAGGGAGAAGAATACCCAGTAATTCCGGAAACGTCTGGCGCGGTTTTGAAGCGATTTACGAGTCGAGATAGCGTTTTCGCGTGTCGTAAACATTTCCATTTGCAGTTCGTTCGATATGAACGTTAAATCTTGCTCGAGATTAAGCGCTTTGATAATTTCGATTCGAATCGTTGTGTTCGACGTAACTCCTAGGACCTGGGACGAGATCGATATTCAGGATACTGACGGATACTGCCGTTCAAGTGAAATATAAAATGGATTCTGTTGCTTTTATATCGAAGGGTTTTATAGGGAAAATTTTATCCAATATTTCAGTGTTTCGTCGTTCAGAGTACATTACTACTTAGGTGGTTACCGACCCCAGCACGATCTTGTTTTTACTAGATTGTAAATTTTATCACACATAAAAATATTTTGAAGAAAGGATTATCTTTATAGATGTTGGCAAATTTTCAGAAATAACGAGATTTTATCTATTTGGAACTTCCATTTTAGTTATAGCTATGACGATGCGTTTGATTTTTTCTGATTTAGTTTAGTCAGTAATTGTCATTTTTCATTTTTCTTTTTTCATTCTTCTATTTCATTTCAAGTTCTATAGAATCTGATACATCGTAAAACTTTAAAACCCTTATTTTAATAATAATTATCAGGATGTATCTGAGTCTTTCGCTAATTTTTATTTTTCTTTATTTTATTTCAAACATTGTCGAGTATGATATACAGTAATATCTAGAAATTCAAATTTTAGTAATAGCTAATAGCCACGAAACATTCAATTTTTCTCCAATTTGATACTACAATTTTATTTTCTTATTTTTCTCTCTCATTTCTAATTTTATAAAACATAATATACTGCAGTACACTTAAACTATAATTTTAATATCAGTTACTACAGTATATTAGATTCTTGCCTGATTTATTATTGCCAACTTTACTTTTCATTTTCCCATTTTATTTCAAATTCTATAAAATTCAACACATCCCGCAACTTGTTGAAATTCCTATATTATTATTTTTTCTCTGACTTCAGTACTGCATCTACAGTATAGTCATTAACGACAGATTTAGTTTTTAGATTTCGTTGTACAGTTTGTCTCTTTTAGTCATTGGAGGGTGTTTTCAATTTATATCTGTATCTATATTTTGTATCTTCTGCATTCATAAAGTGGCTGGCTTATTGATAGCGCTTGCAGTAATCGAAGACTGGTGATTTCGAATTCATATCTTACCGAATATCAGCAAACGTCTGCCCCGAACATGAGCAGAAAAGAAAGAATAGTTAGTACAATATTGAGAGCTGGACGCTCAAAAATTACCCGCGAATACTCACTGAAGAATTCGAAATTATATTATTAACATTTGTCGCCGTACATTTGATTTTTCCCAACTTTGTCATTACCTCTTTCCTCTTTGCCGTATCTCAAATTCCATAGAGCCCAATAAACGATGATACCAGCGTATAAAGAAACTCGACCTCGTGTTATAAATAAATATTTTCGTTGCACCATAGCCATCCTTGCGCAATATACAATATTTCTCCATTCATACCCGATAGTGTGGCCTTTCGAAAATATCGAAGAATTTTAAAGCAAGCCTCAATATCTGTTATCGTAATGGTTGTTCCGTATCTGTTCAATAAATACGAAAGAAGGAGATCCTGGCGACCATGGGGTAGCTAAGGGAGATTGAGGCGGGAGGTAAAAATGGAGGACGCAAAGAGCACTTCCTTCTTCGCTATTATCCTTCGCGTCACCGTATCCATGCGTAGGAGGCTTTCTCCTTTTACACATGAAGGCAAGCGAAAGGATCTTTCCGCAACGAGAGATAAAAAGGAACGATTTCACAAAGGAGCATTGGATGACTGTCTTCCGTAAGATCGGATTTCTTTGTCGAACGGTATCTATATCTCCACGAAGCTTCCCATTCTGACTGTCCGCGGACAAATATTTATAGCATCGAAAATATTATCTCCAGACAGGTGAGCGTAACCTCTTTACATAATTTTTGCGCGATTTTGCCGGGATTCCTTTTTAAATTTTGAGACGACGAACAAAAGGTGACGTTTATTGCTTTGGAAATATTAGTTTCTATGGAAGAGAGCGTGGGAGAGACATGGAAATGGGTAAAGGGCGGAACGTTTAAACGATGAAGGATAAGAAGCGTTTGGAAAGAATTGCTGTAAGGAGAATTAGAAATTCAGGAAACGTACTTAAAGTTATTAAAGATAAAATCTTTTGCAGGTATTATGTGCAAAATGGGGTGCACTTTATCTTAGATTTTAGAGAAAATTGGTTGGGAAATATTTTTTTTCGCTTTCTTTTAAATTTTAAGGTCGAGATTCATTGTCGTTATCTGATTTTTCATCGTCACGAAAAAATCAGGGAGGAAACCGTATTTAAAAGTATGCTGGTAGAAAAATGAGCTCGTGTTTCTTTATAATTTTCCCTGTGAAATAGGAGATTTTATCCAAGGTGAAGAATCTAATCTAAATATTAATGATAATTAGTGGAACGTAATCTAGATCTTCAACTGAAATGTATAATTCTTTTTAACTTTTCTTCTACAAATGTAATATGTACCTATAGCAATGTATAGTATGTTGCAATGAAAATACGTTACAAGTAATTAAACATCGTTGCAATCTAGAAACAGTGGTATATTATAATTAATTATTCAATTATTCGCTGATTTAATGCACGAATATGACGAATCCCGAGTTTCAAATGGCATGTTGATATATTTCTGAAAACACATTTTGATGAAAAGAAACAGAAACAGATGATTTTAAATTCCAAATAACGACTATAACTAAACAAACTCGCGTTATAATCATCCATAACATATTATTATATTCCACATATGGTGAATATGTTCATATAATAATAACATTGTTATTACATTATAACATATTGCACTATAATAAATCATTTCTCTCTTTTCGCAAATATTCTCATGATCTTGTTACGTAACCCCATTCGTCATAAAGTTCCATGAAAATTAATTAATTTACACTTAACAAGAGTGGCGTTAGTTTCGATATTCCCTATTCGCTTCATCTTGGAGTTATAAACGACCAGAAAAGAATGCATAGGTCATACCTCGTTTTTTAAGTTGGTTCTCAACAACCACCGCAGAGATCATGAAGACATTTCCCACGCTGCCTCCGACAGACATAGAGGTCAACAACAGGAGTCTTGCTACCCTGGACCATGCCGAGGACAAAGTGACCGGTGAAATGTCAAGGTCATTGTCCAAGAAGTTGTTCGTTTTATCCGACTCGAGGCTCATAATTCCAGCCAAGGTGCTCGTTGCACCTGTGTAGGTCGCCGTCGCGTTCATCCTGCAACTGAAGAGGCATGGTCATTAACGAAATGGTAGAACCGAGTCGTTTCGTTATCCAGACACGCGAGAGCCGTGTTTTTCAAATGTCTAGACTAGCGTGTCTACGGGAGAATATGAGAGAAATAGGAGAGACGGATGTACGAGCAGTGAAAGTGAAATCGCGCGGTAATATTAGGTCATACTTTTTAATTAAACAGGAGGGAAGACACGAAGGGTGGCTGGCTAATAAAATCACGATTTCATATCGTCGAAAACCATAGGCGCCATATTGGGCTGCACAGATGTTTCAAACATTAAAAAGTTATATTTTTTATTTTATTGGTTAGGGTTGCGCGAAGGTCTGATTTTTTGTGTCGCATATGGTTGAACATTCGGATGATTCTCTTGTGAAGGGATCGTTGGAATACGTTTTCGTGTATGTATACATGATATCGTGTTTTGATATAATTCTTCATTATATAATTTTATTGTTAATTATAGACATGGGAACATTTGTGAATATAAATACTAATTAGGTAAATACTAGTTATATACATGAATTATGTTTTAATATAAAATTGTTTATATTAATTATATTTAACGTAATATAATTCGTATTAAATGTAAAAGTGATATAGAATATTAAAACGCGAAGGCAATTTATTTTCTTGATTATAGTATATCAGGTTATCGATAATCTATCATGAGGTGATTAATCATATTACTTACTCGCCAAAATTTTCTGTACTTCTCTATAGACTTCTGTACAATTTTAGGCTGCTCTATAAGTTCAAAAAATTACATCATAGTGATCCATGAAAAATTTATAATTGATATTTAAATACCAAAAACACGGAGTAATTTATTTAAACAAGAAATAAATTCATATAGATGCAAATTAAACAAATAATAAAATTACTTAGGTCAAATATTAAAACATGAAGATAATTTATTTTTTAGATTATGATTCATCATTAATTACGGTATTTAATTACTAAAATTGTTTATGCTATTCTGTAAACTATTCTATAGATTTTAAATTACTCATAGATTATAAAAGACATATTATAGGACATGTAAGAAATTTATAATCCATATCGGAATTCCAGTGATACAGAATTACCTGTTGAGAAAGAAGCAAACCTCCTAGAAAACAAGAAGCAAAAGATAAATTCACCCAAAACGAGCTAATAGATGCGCTAAACAGAGACGTGCAGGTCCATAGAACGGCTACAAAAAATTAGCTTTTGCAAGCGTCCTCTTTTATCTCTGTCCCCTCGTCTCTCTGACACTCGCGTTGCTGAACGAACGATAGAAAGGACATTGTTCTTCGCTTCCTTTATGCCTTATTTCTCTTTATCCGCTGCATCGTGTCCCGAAAGGAACGTTCATAAAACTGACGGAACAAAATGGAATGGAATGTTACTGAAAATTTCAACGTTCGCAAACCCCAATGCAACCATAAGGGCCATTTAAACACACGTGGTCCATTCATCTTCGTCGAAGTTGGCGAGGCCGCTGCAACGCAGAGATCTCATACCATACGGCTTAAAACGGCTCTGTCTGGTTAGTCCGAACGATATAGTGGGCTCGTAAAATTTAACGAATGTACGAGTGTGAGTGTTCTGACCTCAAGAATGATAATTTGCGATACTTGGGGAAAGATAAGGTCCTCGATAGTCAATTAGTGCCGTGTTATGTCAATTTGGAATTGGTTCTTCCACTGTCAAAGCGGAGGGGAAGCGGTCTTATTGCCCAACTCGTCCATAGCCACTCTCTCAGTGAAGTAATAACAAAAACCCTCGCCCTCTCCGGCATCGACTATTAATCTCTTTAAATCTCGTCGCCAGACCAGTCACAAGGCCATCGTTGAAAGCAATAGTTTACTATCTCGTGTCGCTGGAGTCACCTGTAGCTATATATCCCGAGGCAGAGATTCAGGGGATGCAATTAGCGCGCTGGTTGCGATGCAATTTATTTGAAATTCCACGAAGGCCAAGAGTTACGTGGTATTCCTCGCTCGTTCTTAAATCGATCGCGATTTTTCTCGCTTTTTAGTTCAACCCCTATTTCGCGCTGACGGGCATTCTCGGATTGGATAATTGATTTTGTGTACGCGTCAGAGAGGTAGCTTCACACGAACCTCTCAGTACCGTGGGATGGAACCAGAAAAGGAGAAGGGAAACGCGTCAAGGTGCTTACTATCGGATGAAACTTAAAACACGAGCAAGGGACGATGGACGTGTTCGAAAGCAGGAAGAAAACCGGGTTATAGCGATTCGATACCGGGTTATTAAGCTGCATAGGAACTTTGAAGATTAAGGCTGACATGCTGACATCCCTAATTGTATGGTATCGATCAGGCTCTATTACGAAGTATGGTACGCAGTTTTAATAATCGTCCGCCATGATCGCTTTACGATGCGCCCTCTCGTATCGTAAATTTTTCGAGTCGTTTCGTTGCAATAAAGTCGTTCACTCTTAACGCTGAAGAGCATTTTTATTATCACGATATGACCTGCACGCTCCGGTAGGCCAGATGAAGCCTCTCATTAGGAAACATATTCTGCTTACGATTAGGGTCTTTATTTTTGCCCTTGTATTATTGATCCGGTGAATCGACGTGATTGTAATAGAAGCTCTCGTATCGAGATTAATTTTATCTTTATGAGCTTTGCTTTGATTCGTATGGTACTAAATTGAATGGTGTCCTTTTTCAATTGTGTATCTTTTAGATATTTCATACATATTTTCATTGGTGTTTTGTGTGTTGTCTTGGATTGGTCAAAAAGTAAGATAGGTATTTTCAATATAAAATAGTAGTCACCTTTGCTTTTAACAAATTTTTATGAATTTTGATTTATAACTGTTTGTCATATGAAGGATAGTTGTATAATTTCAATCAACGTGCCATAATATTTAATAGGTTAATTGCTTTGTATTAATTATAAAATTAGGAAAGTATCATATACTGCAAATATCTGATACTATTTATTGGCGAATCTAGTATATTTTTAAAAATAATTAACAACCTTAAATAATTAGTTTATACGTATATTTAGCATAATAGATATATTTTATCTAATTGAACATATTATATATATGTAGTCCTAATTACTACAATAAGGTTGCATGACTTATGTCAGATTAACGCGATACTCGTTTCTAAATTTACAGCTTTTAAACACACAGTAGATGGAAGATTGATAAACTCAGTGAAACGCCAATGAATAAGTTATCCTTCATTCATAACTGCTATCTTTGAAATAACTCACTTGTTGCATTGTTCTTATATAGAAAGAGGGCTCGTTCAGTTCTTCTATGCATAAAGTAGAATGTGCTCTGTTTGTATAGTTTCAACAGGTCTTTAAAATTTAACAGCGTAATAAAGTAATGGCCTTATACCTTATTCATTAGCTAGGGCAATTACCATGAGTTTCATTGTCAATGCTACGAATAATATCTTAAAAATTAAAATATTGTTTAACAATATCATTAATTATTATTATTTTCTTTTTTTTTTAGAGTATTTGTGAACTATAGTTACCATGAATTCATTTTTGCAAATCTCGAAGATATTTTTAATTTTACGTTGAAATATTTTGCAGACAATTTTGATTTATTTGCAGAATGAATAGCGTACGAGTAGTTGCAAATATTTTATAATTTCTTATATACAGAAAATTGAAAACATTTGGCACTGGTAGTATTGACAAAAACGATGCACAATAAATTCTTTGCAGAAATTTTCATGTAGAGAGTGTAGTCAAACAAATAAGCAAAAGTGCCTCTATGTCGATTAAAACCTGTTGCATAACAATTGCTAATTCTTCAAAAATACAATACTTTTCCATAGATTTCGATTCCTATTTTTAAATTCAATCTAACGGTTCTATATTTCACCACTATGCAAAAATAAAATTTCTTCTAGAAATTTCTAGAAAAATTAATTTCTCCTAGACCTTGTACCTGCACGATTTTCATAATTAATTATCTAATTATCTCCATTCCTTTGTCTCCAGTGTACGATTACTCAACGCAGGTCCACCATGCATGGTATTCCCTAAACGAACAAATTGTTCCCTAAATGACCATCTCTTCTGCTCCTTTTTGGAAACCTTTTGTAAAATATCTCTTTGAACGCGTTCAAATCTAAATTAAAAACCGTTTTATATTTATTATGATGAATCAATTTATACAAATTCTAAAGGTCGACCGAAATACCTTTTATTGTTATCCATAATGGAAGAACTGGATTCGAATTTGGCTTTCTCAGACTAGCAAAGGTAGCCTGTTCGAGGTGTCAGTCAAAAATATTCAAGGCCTTTGTTCGACGTAACTTCATGCTATTCGGATTGGTTTATGTTTCACAGGAAAGGTGGGAAACCCGTGGTACAGCGTTCCGGTAGTTTTTATTACGCGATATCTCGTTTCATGGGATCGATGATGAGCTGAGCACAGATCCGTGGAGTACTGAAGCACGTATGCGTAATTGTATTTTTTACATTTGCATATCGTTTACAATTCGTTTATAGGATGAGGTTTTCAAGTATATAAATTCGCACGAGGAAATAATCGGTCATTGAGTTGGGATTGGTGCTCGATATATAGTGGATCACTATAAAATATTTTCGGAATCTCATATGTGTTTGATTGTTATTATTAATCAATCATCGAAATTATAAAAATAATGATGCACTGTGGTCCGCCTACTTTCAATATGATCACAAATTTTTGTATTACGAAAAATTACATTTTGCTCAATTTTAAAAAATTATAATTTCTCAGTAGGAAAATTATACGCTATTTCCATTAAATTAATAATACATTTTATTCTTCTGCTCGTCGATGTCTTAAAACTTCGAGTAAGGATTCTACTCTTGAATCTAATATACACGCACAATTTGGATGGAATCACGTCGTTGCGAAATTGATGGTGGAAAAATGTCATCGTGTCAGGCAGGCGTGGATGATGAAGGAACCGGAAGTCGACGACGCGAGACATCGCGATATCGGCG